GGCACCTAGAGAGTAGAGGTTAGAGATGCTGCTAAACACCCTACAGAACAGCCCCCACAAAAACCTGGACCAAAATGTCAATATTGCAGAGGTTGAGAAACACTGGTATAAATCTGCTGTTAGTTCAAATTACATAGAATCCCCTTAAAATGATGGTTCCAGGAAATATTGACAATCATTTATATATTTTATTTATCATCAAAGGCATGCAATATCTATTCTTATGTATATTATACATTACTGTGTATATTATACATGTATTTTTCTGTATATTATGTACATAGATGAATCATAGAATTTATTTTAAAGTAGCACTAAGAAGCACAAATACCACAAAGAAAGAAGCAAACAAAAAAAGTCCAAATACTATAGAATCCTGATTAACTGGTAAACAACTCACCAAAAACGTTAACTAAAGAGATTTTCTTCCATCAGAATTATATGTCTGTACATTTAGAAAAAAGAAAAAGGAAAAAAAAGAAAGAAAAAGATAAACTAAAAGACCAGCAATCTATGATTTATTCAGAAAGGTCATTCTTTTGAGCTAAGTTGCATTTTTACAAACAGACTTCGTTTCCCATGAAATAAAATTGATCAAAATAATTTTGGTTTTAATTAACACCACATTGTTTTCTTATGTCCTTGGGGCTAGTCTCTAATTGCAGCATCTCTTTAATCTCATCCAACTGTAAACTCCCCAGGGCTAAGCAAGGGGTGATGCGGGGCTGCTTAAAATGTGGCCTGTAGCAGGGCTCAGTGGCTCAGCCTGTAATCCCAGGGCTTTGGGAGACTGAGGTGAGTGAATTGCCTGAGCAACTTGGCAAGACCTCATCTCTACAATAAATCAAAAATTAGCTGGGCGTGGTAGTGCGTGCCTGTAGTTCCAGCTACTTGGAAGAATGAGCTGGAAGGATCGCCAGAGACCGGCAGGTCAGGGCTGCGGTGGCCGGGAGCAGCCACTGAACTCCAGTCTGGGCAACAGAGTGAGACTCCAACTCCAAAAAAAAAAGTGGCCTGCAGACTCAGGGCATTGGAAACACCTGGAAAGATGATTGTTGTTAAACATGCAGGTTTCTGGGCTTTAAGGCAGACTTAGAAATTTAGTTTCACAAGGACTAGGGCCCAAATATCTCCACCATAAACTAGATTTCCCAGATGAGTCTTATTTTTGCACAAGAAAGGTTGGGACCCATTGGTAAGGTGGTGAACTTGAGTTCAAACAGATGGGAGCTCTTTGGAAAAATGTAGAACATCTCTGAGCCTCAGTTTTCTCATCAATAAGATAGAGCCAAGTATAAGACTTAACTCTCAGCCGAAGGGATTATATTAGATAATGCAAGTGAATTTTTTGTAGAGAGCTTATTAGCACCCAGCAAGCCCTGAATAAGTGGAAATTTAAGTTATAATCAATATTATTCATTACCACTCTAAATTTGCACCTCCACCTTAAGCCTGGCATTTTAGTGATACCAAAAGCTCTTAAGAAATGTGTGTTGAATTAATGAATAAATGGTTTCACTATCATTACATATAAGGTACTTTTTCTAGGTGCCAGCTGGATTGTGGTTTCATATGAGTGAGACAGAAGAAAAGACCAAAGAGGTAGAGTAGGGCCTGAAAAATGGCATGCCGTTCAGATAAATCATGCCAAGGGTTAAATTCCCTTTAATTGTTTTCTAATGTGGCTGTCGTTTATTAATAATTAGCGAAGTCAAAGTTCCCAGATAATCACAATGTGTTGCTGAAATGTGGCATAAGTTTAAATACCAGGACTACAACCAACATTTCTGAAAAGGACTGCCTAGTTCTTTAGAATTCCAAAAATAAACACATCTCCAATGACAAGGAACTCCCTTCTCTGTGAGCTTCCGGGGAAAGCCAAGGTATTTGTGTAGCTGTCACACCCCTCGTTGAACTCTTAAAAGAGGTTATTCCTTCATGAACTCAGCAGTATAGTATTTGCTAATCTTCCCATCTTGGTTCTTCAGCTACGCTTCAAGAGATCTTCCTTTAAGAAGACTGAACACTTCTAACAAATTGTTCACATTTTTAATATTTTATTTATCTATTGTGCGTTTTTTATAAACACAAATTTTAGAAAATTCTGGACAGATAGTAGGTATGGTAGTACATTTTTACCTTTTGCCTTGGCATATTAGCAATTTATTGCTACCTGAGAAGTGTTGAACTATTTCCCAGTAGCATGGTGGAAAACTGTCTCATTCTTTCAACAAATACTTAATGAGGATCTTCTCCAGGCCACACACTCTCCTAGGTCCTTGGAATTCATTAGTGAACAAAACAAAGAGCCCTATACTCATAGAGCTCCCAAGCCAGTGGAGATCAGACAAGAAACACCCTTAATAACCAATCTAGGTGCCCATCAATGACTGCCTGAATAAAGAAAATGTGGTACATCTATACCATGGAATACTATGCAGTCATAAAAGAGAATGAAATCATGTCCTTTGAAGCAATGTGGATGGAGCTGGAGGCCATTATACTGAGTGAAATAACTTAGAAACAGAAAATGAAATACTGTTCTCCCTTGTAAGTGAGAGTTAAACAGTGGGTACTCATGGACATAAAGATGAAAATAATAGACACTGGGGGGCTCAAAAAGTGGAGAGGACAGAAGGGAGATAAGGGTTGGAAAACTACCTGTCAGGTACAATGTTCAGTGTTTGGGTGATAGGTACATGTACACCAGAAGCCTAATACCCACCAGTATGCAATATACCCATGTAACAAACATGTGCATGTGTCCCTTAAATCTAAAGAAAAAGGAACACACCTAGTAAATGAATAAATTACACAGCAGGTTTTACAAGATGATAAGCTTTAGAGAAGTAGGCAGCTCAGGTTGAGAGAAATAGAAGTGATGGGTGGGCTACCAGGACCACCTTACTGAGAATATGACATTTGTGCCAACCCTTAAGGAGGTGAAGGGATGAGCCAGGCAGATTTTGGGAGCCAAGCAGCCCAGGCAGAGACAAGTTGACATCGGGACAGCATGGGGTGTGGCTAAAAGCAAGGGCTGTCAAGTTGGGCTGTCTGGGTTGGAGTCCCTGTTTTACCATTTCCCAGCCATGTGGGGTTTTTTTTTTGCAAGCTATGCCTCATTTTCCTCTTTATGCAATGCAGATAATATTAAGGATTCTGCTGATACAAGCTGACTAGCCAGGGATCAGCAAACTACTGCCTGTGGGTCAAATTCTGCCCACTGATTGTTTTTGTAGATCAAGATTTATTGGAGCACAGCCACACTCATTCATTCAGGTATTGTCTATGGTAGCTTGTAGGCTACAATGGCAGAGTTGAGTTGTTGTAACAGACACTGCCTGACCTGCAAAGCCAAAAATATTTACTATCTGGCCCTTTACAGGAAAAATTTGTTGACCCCTGAACTAGACTAAAAGTAAAGGCACATCTATGAGTAGAATCTGCCTTTGGATCAACATTATTTTCCTTTCCTAAGATTTTGTTTCTCTGGGAAACATCCCAAAGAGCCTGTAAAGAAATCACACAACACAGCAAGAATTTAGGATATTAGAAAGCATGTAAATGCTAAGATAAAATAAAATGGGTTATCTGTAAATAGCTGTTCATCTGAATTATTGATAAACCAATGAAGTGGAAACGAACACTGTCAAACTCAGTATTGTGCTCACATCATCTAAAAAAACAAATACCACCTACATCTTGTTTCCAGTGGAAAGTTCCTTTACAAAGGCTAGCATAGAGGGGACACAACCCCATACTGGAAGTCCCCAAGGACAAAAACATCAGAATAAAAGGCCAACCTCATTTCTGCGTATCCCTACTTGAAACGTGGCCTTTTCTACTGGCCACCAATTTAATTCTTAGTTTTAAGCTTCTCTTAAATCTTGGGTGAAAAAAAAGGTAAAACAGCCTGCACAGATCTCAGGGTTGCAGAAAATGAAAATGCACATGAACTAGAAACTTCTCAGTGATAGGGCCAGCAGCTGACAGTTTTACTTATCTTTCTATAATTAAATTTAGTTCACTAAAATTAGGGCAGACCTCTGGAGAAAGGTTAGACCTGGAAGATACTGCCCATATTTATAGATGATTCACTTAATGCTAGTGACTGTTCTAAGCCCTTTATTTATACAAGTATTTTCTCATTTAATTCTTGCCACAACCTTAAGAACTATGATACCATCATTATTCCCATATTTCTGATGAGGAAACTGAGGCATGGAGCTTAGAAACTTGCCAACATCATATCCCAAGTAAATGGTAGAGTTGGGATTTGAAGCCAGGCTTCAGGTTCTAGAATTAAGACTCATGACCACTATATGTATTTCATCACTTCTCATGATAAACCAACGAAGCCCCTGACTTTACAAAAGAGCAAAGCAACTGCGACTCCTGTAGCAGCAGAACAGGATCTGGGACATGAGGGGCATGTTCTGCCTCTTTCTGCCACCAAGTCTTTTCATTATGAGACATATACCTTTATAATAAGGTAAACCAGACAGCATTTAAAAATCCAGAGGCTTAAAGTTTTCCTCTTTCATAAAACAGCACACACACGATAGATTTATTACTAACTTTATCTAATAACCAAGTTGTTATCAAAAAACCATATTAATCATGGCTGCAGCTACTGAAATGTGGCCCCTGCATTCAAAAAGTCCAGAGGGAAAGACAAGCCACTTTCCCCTTTCAGATCTCAAAACAGCCTGTGCCCAAATCTTTTGCAGAAATCAGCCCAGTTATGCTGTTCATTTAATCACGACACAATCCTGCCTGCTGGAGTTTGCTCATTTCAAGCTACTCCAACATCATTAATCTATAAAGAAGATTCTGATCAATCTCCATTGACATGAACAGTTATTAGCTGTCACACAGCTCAGACACTGATCAATCCAGTTTTCTTCCTAAATCACAAGATAGATGTGAAAGAATCACAGAATTTTATCCCAATAATCTTCTGGAAAAGACATGTAAGTATAGATATTTATATTGCTTACCCATGAATTACAATCGGCCGCGTCTTTGTTGTCCTCTCTAATCTAACTGAATTAAGCTTGGAGTAGGAACTTGAGCCTGCTTAAAAAAATTTTTTTTGGTGAAAAATGCATCCTGAAATGGCAGATCGTATCGAGTGTCTGAGAAATGGCCCAGCTGGCATAGCTGCGACTCCCACGATACCTTTTGTTGCCAGAGACCTCCGCTACTGTGAATCTTGGGACCAAAAATATGCAATCTTTTCATCGGACCATTAAGAAGTTCCGTTCCTTTCCTTTGAGAAGGGAGGCAGACTGTGTCCCTGAGTAAGTGCACGAATAAGTGTGTGTGTGTGTGTGTGTGTGTGTGTGTGTGTGTGTGTGTGTGAGAGAGAGAGAGAGAGAGAGAGAGAGGAGAGTTGAGGAGGAGGAAGGAGGGGAGAGAAGAGACACAAAGAATGAAGAGAAATTGAAACTGGATTTCCTGCTTCTTACTTTAATAAGACTATTTTGAAGAAATATACTGGAGTTAGGAAAGGATTCCTTTTAAAAAAATCCCTTTTTCCTCAGGGATCTACAAACGGTAATTGGATTGTAACTGTGCAAACTGTCCTTATTAGGAATCAGGCAAAGAATGTTGTATGCCTCTGGTAAAACCCCCGAGAGCATGATAAAGTACATAGGATGCTTTCTTTGTTTAAGACAAATTCTTGGTTCTTAAATTATATTTTAAAACTATTGACTTTTTCATTTTTCTAACACAAGCTGCAAACATTAAAAAACAAAAAGATTTCTTTCTCTTTTACACTGAAGCATAACACATGCTCTGCATTTTATGCTCTTTGTGGGACAATAGTCCTTGAGAAGTTGTTCACTTCCTGAACAGAGGGTGTGGAGGTCAGAACGAATGTATCCACATGGTCATGTTTAAGAAGCTGCAGGTGGGGGTGGGGATTTGGAGTGGGATCCAGAAAGCGCAGAGGGAAAAGGAAAGATTAAAAACATCTTCCAATCACTAATTACCTTGATCTCCATGCATTGCACATGGCACTCTACCAAATACAACTCAAAAAGACATCTTTGTTTCCCAGTCAATATGAAGTTATAGTTCTCTCATGGGTCTCAACTGAATTCCAACAAAAGAATCACTGTGATTACAATTGACAACAGGGAAATGATTTCATGGAAGATCTTACTGATTCAAAATTAAGGAACTAAGTATGGTTTTACTAGGATTCTGTGAGGTTAATCATGTAAGCCACACATAGCCTCTGTTGCTGCTGAGGAGGAAATTTAAAAACAATAAAATATGCCACAGATGGTTTTCTTTACTAAAACCATTAAACTTAAAGGGAAATCCAGACAATTCTACCTGTTATTGCCTATACCTCCACTTCCACTACCCTAAAAACTCAGATGTTGAAAATACTCATAATTTTAGTAGATAGTTCATATGGTTCACATTGGATATTCATCAATAGAAGTTATACCCTTATTTAAAGTTATTTACTATATTAATATTATTATGTTAACATATTTAATATATTATTTCACACAAAACTGATACATATGCAATTTATTTTGCATTGTTAGGCAAATTATCTTTTAGCTTATGAATAGATGACAGCAACATGTAGCTCTGACTGAGCACTAAGTGTCAGGCATTGTTTCAAGCATTTTATGGGCACTGACTCATTTAACCATCAAAAGAATTCTAAGAAGTAGGATACGTTATTTCCCCCATATTACAGATGAGGAAACAATCTCAGCGAAGTTAGGTTACTTGCCCCAAAATTCACAGCTCTTAAGTTATGCAGCTTTAATCCCAACCACTACGAAGCTCATAAATTATCTGGAAGATAAAGCCACAATGAGGAGTCAGCACTAGTAGGGAGCCATGTTATAAGTACCCAATGAAAAAGAGACAGCGATTAAATAAGAATACCTAAGACTGGAGTCATCTGTTAAATCAATTATGTAATGGAGACATACACTCTCAGGTCAACAAATGTTTCATAAGAAAGTGAGTATTCCTTTAAGTGAATAATCTCAGTCTCAAGAGACAATGTCTTATGAAATTCCTGGTCTGTCTTCAGAGTGGAATCAAGTCAGGCCTCGAGAGGAAATGCAGAAATAATGCAGAAGTTGTATGTAGTTGGTATCTTTTGGAAAAGTGCATTCAAGTCAGAAAAATAAAAGTGAAGATAAGGAATCCTCTTTAAAATTTAAATTAACAGTCCTTTAAGTAAAACGAATAAGAGGCCAAAGAGTCACTTCAACAGCCTTGGAAATAAATACCAGGAAGCAATTAAGAGGTCCAATACATGGAAGAGTTTTGCTAATCAAAAAAAGAACTGAGACCATAATAGTCATTTTTTTTTCATTTAACCTTCCCTAGTGAGAATATCAAGAAACAATCTATAGCCTCAGAATCTATGCCAATCAGTATTCACTCTACCTTCTTCTTGGCTCTTATTCTGGATTATTTCTATTTATATCATTGGTGATATTTTATACATTCATGGCAAAAAATATTATAGAACCTCTCTGTCAACTTTTTGAGTGAACACATTTCTCATCACAGTACTCTTTTGCTTAAAACCCTTTGATGTCTCTTCCTTAGCTCCAGGACAAAGTTCAAATTTCTTAGCCTGGCATCCAGTGCCATGTGTGTTGACTTAAGTGAAATGAAATCAAATAGCCACTACATAATAGTGGATAACAATAATAATAAGAGTGGACGTTTACTGAATATGCTTTAGGTGTTAAGCAGTTAACCTGTGTCATGCTTTACTCTCTTCCATAGTGAGGAAAATATTGACTGGCTGCTCATGAAGCCCATAGGGCATTCATCTAGTCTACACGTCCCAGCTTCCCTTGCAGGTAGTAGTGGTCATATGACTGTGCTTTAGCTAATGGAATGTCAGGGTAAATAATAGGCTTCACTTCTGACACTGGTCCATAAAAACCTGGAGAACAACACCCAGGCAGCCCTCAAAGGCATATATGGTCATCCCAGGTATGGACTGCACTTTTTAAGATTCTTGCCTAGTGTCCTCCTTAGCTCTCAATCCTGGCTGGTCCTGTGATTTGCTTTAACCAATCAAATGTGGCGGAAGGTGATACTGAGTCAATTCTGAGCCTAAGATATAAGAAGGCCTGGAAAATTACAATTTTGCATTCTTGGGACTCTTGAGCTACCATGTGTTAAGTATAGCTACTGTGTTGGAGAGACTATATGGAGAGGCCACATGGAGATTGAGAAAGGCTTAGTTGTCCCAGTGTCTCAGCTAAATCCAGCTCCAGCCAACCTCCAGCTGAACAAAAGGAAGAAACAGCCCGGGCTCTGAATCTTTGCTTAAAGCACTGGTGTCCACCAATTATGGCTACTATAACCACATGAATGAGAAATAAACTGGTGTTGTGAGATTTGGGGATGCATATGACATAGCAGCTGACCTTACCTTCCTTAACTAGATGACAAGCCAAAGGACAAAAGGAGAATTCTGCACTCTCATTGATGCCATTTGCTTCCTCAACTCCTGTGCACTCACAGATAAAACATCTCAGAAGCCTGAATCTGGATCCCTCGCCCCTGGAACTCCTCCTACTCTTCTCCCCACTGAGCTACATGGCAGCTCATTCTTTCCTTTTCTGGTTGATTAACTGGATGGTAAAATACAAATTTCTCTTCATACATGATTTTGCAAAGCATGTAGAGAGTCATATAAAAATGAAGATGAATATATTTTTAATGACATCCTTCAAGTTTTAAATAATATACAATGGTTAGAAATAGGTAATGCTTTTACCTTTCAGAACTTTGATTGAATCTAATACAATGACACAATGAAATTCCATTTAAGTAACATTCATGACTAATAAACCTTTCATTGGTCTGATTAACCTTTTTCGACTGGTAGTATAGAGTTGGTGTGCAAGGTCTTAATATTGTTTAAGACTGTGCATAAAAATGCAAATGTTTTCATTTGCTACCTTAAAATGTGATGTCATTTAGTTTAATTATCAGACTGTACCTTTGGATTGCTCAGAATTCCCAGAGGCTAGGTGACAAGTCAAAGGACAGAAGGAGAATTCTGCATTCTCTCCATGCTGGCATTTACTTCCTTAACTGTAACTGTCTGTCCTCTCCCCATTCTTGGCACCCTGACCTTGGTCTAATTGCTAGTGTCCTCTTGCTGCTACTGCAATCTATTTGCAGAGAAGAGTATTTTTTAGATCCTTCAGATCCAAAATCTACCATCAGAGTAATACTTAACTGGAAAACTAGTTAGGGCCATGAATCTAAAATAGTAGAAATCACAAGCAAGAACAACTAGCACCTATAGCGGGCTTATTGCCTTCATGTATATTCACTAAACTCTAGGAGGCAGGGACTAAAATTCTTCCCATTTTGCAGACAAGAAAAACAGAAACAAAGAGAGCTGAAATAGCTGGCCAAAGTCACACAACTGGGAAGTAAGGAGTTGGGATTCAAACTCAGGCGGGGTCTTTCCAAATGCAACGGGTTTAACCTCAACGCTATATCACAGCATGCTGGTGAACTTTTCTTTATTCAGCCCCTTGGAAGACATATTTGCAAAGGAAGTATGACATAGAACAGAGACATATTTGCAAAGGAAGTATGACATAGAACAGAGACCGGAAGGCCCCGCTGCAACAGGGAGAAAGCCGATAAATGCATGGACGACAACTTAGGGCTCAAAGCCCTATGGAATCGAGACACAGAAATGTTCACAAAGGCAAGGTACCGTGAAGAATCAGAGAAAAGGAAGCCAGCAGATGAGGCAGTAACCTCCAGGGATAAGGAGAGGGACAGGTGATTTTTTTTTTAAAGGAAAGAGGAACAGGCATTTTAGGAAAGCTCCTGGAGGACAAATCCTTTACAAGTGGAAATATCTACCCTAAGTTTTGGGTTAAGGGTGTAACACCATGAAAGAGGTGTTTTAGGAAAGAGGAGCGAGGTAGAGTGGTGCAGAACAGATGGAAAGGGTTAGATAAGGAGAGGAAGTCAACATTGAGGTCTACAACTTGAGTGGTAAAGGGAGACCCTATGAGTGGCATTGACTGACAAGCCAAGACTCTAGGCAACAATAAAAAAAGAAGATCCTAGAAATGATTTCTTCATGAGAAGCCTTCACTTATTCCCATGAATATGGACTCCCAGAAAGTCAAGTTCAGGATTATACTTGTAGAAATACCTTTGAGTATTGAGTGGGAAATTTGTATCTCATTTTAGGTGGCTGGGAGAGTAAACCGAGAAAAAACCATTTCCTCCTGATTCTCATGAAGAAATCTGGATATGTCATCACCAGTTCTGATAGACAGCAGAGAATGGTGTTT